ACTTTCTGTGGTTTCCTTGATATCAGAGCACCTCTTCTTACAACACCTCCAGAGCTTGTGAAAGTGTTCCCGTCTGCTGAGTCAGACCTGCATCAAACTTCTGACTTGTCTTTCCGCTCCGTGTCCTGTGCCATCTCCATGTGTTCTGTGGCTGCTGGTTGCCTCAGTTACTGACAAGCTCCACAGGGCTCTGCCTCTCCCTTTATCCCTAATTTTGGTCTGCAAATAGTAAAAAGTCTATGCCCAAGCAGAGCTAGCTTCCCTTGAAGATGTTTTTTTTTTTTATTCTTTCCAATGCTCAGGACTTGCTCACCTGGTTCCTCTTAAGTTTTTCCAGGTGTCTCACCTGGAATATTTCTTTCTTTCTTGGCAGCTGATTCATTTAGAAATCAAGCCGGCCATCAGGAATCAGATTATCCGGGAGCTGCAGGTGCTGCACGAGTGTAATTCCCCGTATATCGTGGGTTTCTATGGAGCCTTCTACAGTGATGGAGAGATCTCCATCTGCATGGAACACATGGTGAGTCCCCGTTCCTTCTCTGCAAACTGCTGCTCCTCAATCTATTTCTCCTCCGCTCCTAAATCTATCTCCCCAGGACTGGAAATTGCTGGTGAAACGGGTTGGGGCGCTGACAGCCGCCATGGTCCTTGCTCTGGCTGCAGGGAGGCCACCGTGCTCCTGGCAGGAGCTGCAGGCTTCTGCTTAGATGTCAAAATGACAGAGAGATCGACTTTTTGGAAAGCGGAAGCAGAGGTTTGGGGGTTGGCCAAACGGAAATGTTGTAAACCTGCCTCTCTGCAGAGCTCTCTGTGAAGCACAGAGCGCGTTTTCTGGTGTCTCTGGCAGAGAACGGGGTTGTCGCTCCTCCAGATCAGCGCTGACCGTATCGCCTTCGCCTTTGCCACTAGGGGAAAGGAAGCCAAGAACTACTACAAGAAGTAGAGCTGATGGAAGATAGCATTAAAATAGTTTTCAGCAGGAAGCTTGAGCTCTGATCACCAGATAATTATTTATTTTTATAATTTTTTTTTTCCTCTGTAAAAGGAGCATGCTTGATGCTGAGTTGTTGGAGGCGGTTGAGCTGGGATGCTGTGTACTGCTGATATACTGCTTGCCCTCCCTGGGCATGCTTCCCTGTACAGCCTGCTGCCCCCTTTTCCTGATGGAGATTGGTGTCTTGATCATTTTGTTGTTCTTTATTTTAGGATGGTGGCTCTTTGGATCAAGTCTTGAAAGAAGCTAAAAGAATTCCCGAGGAGATCTTGGGGAAAGTCAGTATAGCGGTGAGTTACATTGGCTCTTCAGGCTTCCAGGAAGGATTTGCTGGGCATGGTTTGGGAATAATGCTTGTGTTGCCTTAGGAAGTTTTCTTTGCTTCCCCATATACTCTTTCCTGTCCTAACCCAGAGGCAGTGGTGTGGGCAAGAGGGGAGGTTAATGCACGTTCCCAACCGCTCTCCGTAGCCCCAGCCCTTTGCATTGCACCAGTTGATGTTGGCCTCTGTTGGAGAAGGTTTGGGAGAAGCTTTCTTGGGCAGTAAACCCAAGATCTGTGATGGACTAAGTGATAAATTGCAAACCCTGAGACACATGGACACTACGGGGTGTTTTTCCTCGCCACGCTGCGGTGTGGCAGCAGCCGGAGTTTATGCAACGTGTCCTGCCAAAGGGAGAACACTTCCCTTCCCAGCTCTGATCTCATCCTGTCCTTGGTTTCCTCCTAGGTTCTGCGAGGCTTGGCGTATCTGAGAGAGAAGCACCAAATCATGCACAGAGGTGAGAGGAGGAACCTAAAAATAACTGCCTGCGGTACAAGAGCCCTGTATTTTACCTACGGTCGCGTTGACGCTCCTCTCTCTTGCTGTTGTCAGATGTGAAGCCTTCAAACATCCTGGTTAATTCTCGAGGGGAGATTAAGCTGTGTGATTTCGGGGTCAGCGGCCAACTCATTGACTCCATGGCAAACTCTTTTGTGGGAACTCGGTCCTACATGTCTGTAAGTTCCTTTCAGCTTTTTGTCTGGTTTTTCTTTTTTTTTTTTCTTTTACAATTTGGGTTCAACTCTGCTCTTACAGAATCGGGGTGTGGTGTCCAATTTGCTCACGGTTTTGCTCTGTGTTTCAGGTTTGTTGTTTTTTTTTTTTTACGATTTGGGTTCAACTCTGCTCTTACAGAATCGGGGTGTGGTGTCCAATTTGCTCACGGTTTTGCTCTGTGTTTCCATCCACACCCAGAATGTCCCCTTCCTGGTTCACACTGAGGGTGAGCCCAGTGTTTTGAGGCCCTGTCCTCTGCTGGAGAAGCAGAATCCTCTCGAGGAGCTGGTGTCCTGTTGTCTCCAACCTGTGCTCAGGCAGCAGCAGTGCATGTTGGGGTGCAGAGTTGCATGGAAAGACATTTTGGATCCTACCAATACTTCCATATTTGATTTTTGGCAAGCGTTTGTGGGTTCAAGAACATCTTCTCTTCCTGCATGCAAAGCTCTGCTCAAGAAACTGAGTGTGAAGGGGACATGGATGCTGATACAGGCACCTTCTGTGCTGCTGTGAGCATGTGTGCTCACTGGAAAAATGGGGGTAAAGCCAGTCTAGTGCAGGTGGGGGCTAATGGGAATTTAAAGCCAAGCTGGAGTCAGCCAGCCAGAGTGAACTTCAGGAAGAGCTGCTTGTGCCTCCCTCCTTTAAATGAAAACCATAATCAGCATCAGCTCAACTGCAGATAACATGGTGTCCATGACAATAAAACTACTCCCCTGACTGGCTCTGAGTCCCCAGGTCCTGCTGGCTGAAAGGCAGGGGGGAGGTGGGGGTCTCCCCCCCAACACCGTGCCTGGTCATGGCTGGGAGCGAGCGGTGGGTCATTAGGGAGGCCGTGGGACTGTGCTTAGGGCTGAGCTGCTCTCATATTTTGGGAATGGTTACTCAAGTACGGTTATAGTTAGACAGTGGCTATTTAAAAGCAGGATCTCCTCTGCACAGCTGAGTTAAAGCTGCCAGTGTGGATGACTTGCATTTGATTTTATAGTTTTTTCTTTTTTATTTCTATGGCAAGAGCCTAGAGTGGATTTTTCTGCTCCTCGGATTCCTCTTGGGCGTTAACAGGAATGACTAGGGGGGGAAAAAAAAATAAAATGCAGTAATAAATTGAGTTCATTAGATCTCGGCATACAGAGAAATAGATTCCTACTGTGTACTCTGGACTCCTAAGTATAAGCAGCTGTAAATGCTGCTCCACTGTAGCTGTTGATGAGATGCATCAAAGTGCTTTATGTTTGCAGATGATATTTCTTTTTGCATCCCCTTTGAGCCAGTCCTTTCCCTGGAGAAGGGGTGGAGAGCAGAGCCGGAGAGGCCGTGGGGATATATCAGGTCTCACCTGTTTCGTTTCAGCACGTGATATTTACGACTTTTGCACATTGATATTCTGCCTCAAAGCCTGTTTTCTGTGATCTTTTCCTTCCAGCCCGAGCGGTTACAGGGCACCCACTACTCGGTCCAGTCCGACATCTGGAGCATGGGTCTGTCGTTAGTGGAGCTGTCGATCGGAAGGTACCCAATCCCCCCGCCAGACTCCAAGGAACTGGAAGCAATATTTGGCCGTCCCGTGGTGGACGGGGCAGAGGGAGAGCCTCACAGCATCTCGCCGCGGGCCAGGCCCCCAGGACGCCCCGTCAGTGGTAGGGGCTGTCGTATGCATTGGAAACAACCTGCAGAGGTGGGGGAGAAAGGGGTTGGGGGTTTGTCTGATGCGGCTGGGGGAGCCGAAGGCCCTTTTGGATGAGGTTGTAGGGGGGAGGTGAGTGTTTTTTAGGGAGGCCCCTCTCTGCTGAGCAGCTGGAGCTGTGACAATGCTCCGGCAGAATCTAACTACCGTGGAGGTTTGTAATTCCTGACGAGCGCAGGCAGGAGTCCAGTCTGGCACGGGGAGGTGAGACCCCACCTGGAATAGTGTGTCCAGCTTTGGAGTCCTCAACACAGAAGGGACATGGACCAGCTGGAACAGGTCCAGAGGAGGGCCAAGAAGATGATCAGAGGGATGGAGCACCTCTCCCATGAAGACAGGCTGAGGGAGCTGGGGTTGTTCAGCCTGGAGAAGAGGAAGGTGCGGGGAGACCTTATAGCGGCCTTTCAATACCTGAAGGGTGCCTATAGAAGAGCTGGGGAGGGACTCTTTGCCAGGAAGGGTAATGATAGGACAAGGGGAAACGGTTTTAAATTGGAAGAAAAATGATTCCGATTAGATCTCAGGAAGAAATTTTTTACTCTGAGGGTGGTGAGACACTGGAACAGGTTGCCCAGAGAAGCTGTGGCTGCCCCATCCCTGGAGGGGTTCAAGGCCAGGCTGGATGGGGCCTTGAGCAACCTGCTCTAGTGGGAGGTGTCCCTGCCCAGGGCAGGGGGGTTGGAACTAGATGATCTTTGATGTCCTTTCCAACCCAAACCATTCTATGATTCTATGCCAACCAGGGTCTGTTACGGTTTTTGGAGAGCTCGGTTCATCTGCCTTTAGACCCTGCTGTGTCCCACAGGAGGGCTTAAGCCACACAGCACAGCACCCTGTGCTTTCTCAGGATGTGGGCCCCTTGGAGGAGATGCTTTGAGGAACACTGTCACAGCCCCTGTTGCTCCTCAGGCTCTGCCCGTGTTCCCAAATGATTCCTTTCGAGCTAGAGGCAGCTTTTGGGGAAAAGCTTTGCTGGGAGCTCTCGCAGAAGCACCAAACCAGCGCAGGGATTTGGAGAAGGCTCCGCTTGAGCCATTTGCTTGGAAGCAGAAGGCTCTAGAAGCACTGCCAGCCTGCCACAGCAGATGGTCTGGTCCTCTCCAAACGCTCCAAGCTAGGAAATAAATCTGGACTGGAGGCATAGTGAAAGAAATCTGAAATTTTGGAATGCGCTTTGGTTTTCTCTTCGTTGCTTTTTTAACCGTGAGTCGGTTCCCCAGCGGGTGCCTCTGCCTCTCCCAGCAAAACTCCTGCAGCACACGTTGCTCCTCACACCATATGAGGCCCTTCCCTGTCCCCAAACAGCCTCTTACCACTCTTTTTTTTGTCATCTTAACCACGCAGGCCACGGGATGGACAACCGGCCTGCCATGGCCATCTTTGAACTGCTGGATTATATAGTTAATGAGGTGGGTGTTTCTTAATTGTCGGCTCTGCTGGACCTTCCCTCAGGTACCACAGTGTCGTGTCCACTCTTGAGTCAGGGTGGGCTCCAAAACCTTTGCTTGAGCAGGGGCTTTTGGATAGCAAACCCCTCTGAGCCACACTGACGTCCTTTCCTTTTCCCCTGTTCCCTCCTCCCATCTTTTTGTACCGCAAAAGCATCCCTGGTCGTGGAAAAAGGCTCTGCAGGGGGAAGTTCATGCTTCCCTTGAAAGAGGAGAGCAGTGAGAGGAGCTCTTGGCTGTAATGACCTGCTCCCTCTGCAACTGCCCATTTTGAATGTGCTCCTCCCTAGATCGGCAAAGGGTGAACGCTGAAGTCTTCTCAGATGAAGCCCTTTGAATGAGGGTGATGGCTGCTAAAATCCCAGGTTGAAATGTCCTACCAGACTTGGAAAGTAGGGTCTGTTCCACCAACAAGTGGAAAGAGCAGTTTCCCCTTTCGAGGTGACAAGACTTGACCCCCAATTATCGTTTCTAGAATGCTTCCTCTGCCGTAGGTGTTTCCAGAGCTGGGATTTGTGAGTCTGGATCCAGAATTGTGACACTGCAATTTTGGTCTCTCCCAGTTTTAGCTGGGATTTGGCATGGGGTCCCCCCGCAGCAGTAGCTTGTTTGCTGCCAGGGTGAGAAATGGTGGGAATTGGGTCCCTGGTGGGGAAGGGCAGTGAGGAGGAGGAGGAGGATGATAGCTGGAGAGCACAGCTTTTCTGCAGCTCATTAAAGACTGTAGGTCAGGTTCTGCTTTTTGATCCATTAACACACAGCGATGCAGGAAAAACCCATCTTCTTTTCTCTGCAGCCACCTCCCAAGCTGCCAAACGGAGTTTTCACGCAAGATTTCCAGGAGTTTGTAAATAAATGGTAAGGGTTTGATCCTATGGCTGAAGATAGAGGCCTTTATGAGCTCCCTGGCAGCTCTGCAGGCTGCTCCCCCCAGAGAAGGTTTGGCGTAATGCAGTGTTCTCCCTGCTCTGGAGGTGATCTCTGCCTGGCTGCAGGGGGATTCTGCCTTGTGCTGGGAGCTCCTGCCTTGGGAAGGGTTGGAAAAAAAAAGCGGTTTATTTGCGGTGATGCTTAGCACTATCCCAGCACCTTCTAAATCTGAGCCTGGCGGGGGGGTGGCGAGGCAGATTGCTGGGGCTATGAGTCACCCACAGGCACCAGGCATTCACCATCCTCTTCTCCACATTTTGCTGTGGTGGGGGGACACCTGAAGATGCTCCCACAGCATCTTCATTAAATCACAGAGGTTGGACACTGTAAAAATCACCAATCCCCGCTAAGCCTTAGGTCCTTTTCTCAGTTTGCAGGGCATTGTTCCCCGACATGGTCTAGAAGAGATGGATCCTGCAGCTCTCCCTGGGAGCTGGGCTGCTGGAGATGGTGCTTTCAAAGCCCTTTCCATCCTCTGGGGCTCCCAGGGAAAGCAGCCAGGAGGCCACGGGGCTTTTGGTGAAGCTGGAGACCTCTCCGGCCAGATAATCAGTTTCCCACAAGAAAGGTCTCAGCGTTGGTTTTGCTCTCTTGTTCTTCTCATTTCAGCTTAATTAAAAATCCAGCAGAACGGGCAGATCTGAAGATGCTGATGGTAAGTTGGGGGAGGGCAATTTTCTTTCTACAGTGTGGGGTGGCACCAGATCTGCTGCCCTGTCCTGTCCCTCTGTGCTTCCCTTGCTCAAAAGGCTGGAAACTCCCAAGGCTGAGCTTAAGATGAGCAAAATCGAGCCTGGGAGAGGGAGTGGCTCACTTTACCTTTGATTTAAAGGCACTGATGGTATCTGGCCCCTGCAGAGCCTGGGATGGGAACCTCCCAGTTGTCCTGTGTCTGTGGAGGTGCCTGGAACCTCCTGAGCTGGGCAGATAAATAGGAATATGTGGGCTGAATCTGAGCTAGCAGCCCAGAAATCCCCCCTGCATCCCAGGCTGCATCCCCAGCAGGGTGGCCAGGGGGGCGAGGGGGTGGATTCTGCACCTCTGCTCTGAGGAGGCACCCCCCCAGTGCTGCCTCCAGCTCTGGGGCCACCAACAGCAGAAGGACATGGAGCTGTTGGACCAGGGCTAGAGGAGGCCATGGAGATGCTGGGAGGGCTGGAGCCCCTCTGCTGGAAGGGGGGGCTGAGAGAGTTGGGGGGTTCAGCCTGGAGAAGAGAAGGCTCCGGGGAGACCTTGGAGCCCCTTCCAGTCCCTCAAGGGGCTCCAGGAAAGCTGGGGAGGGACTCTGGATGAGGGAGGGGAGCCCTAGGAGGAGGGGGAAACGTTAGACCTTGCAAGAGGGGAGATGGAGCTGAGATGTGGGAAAGAAGTTCTTTGGTGTGAGGTTGGTGAGAGCCTGGCCCAGGTTGGGCAGAGAAGCTGTGGCTGCCCCATCCCTGGAGGGGTTCAAGGGCAGGTTGGAGGGGGCTTGGAGCAACCTGGTGTGGTGGGAGGTGTCCCTGCCCAGGGCAGGGGGTGGCACTGGGTGGGCTTTAAGGTCCCTTCCAACCATTCAATGAGCCCGGTTTAACCATGTTCACCTCAACATCATGCTGAGCCCGTGAGCTACATGTGGGTTTTCTCCTATAACCCTTGCAAAGGAGGTAGCCTGTTTCCTCATGGCCCCAGTGCCCTTGGTTCGATGAGCCCAGTTTAACCATGTTCACCTCAGCATCACGCTGAGCCCGTGAGCTACATGTGGGTCTTCTCCCATAACCCTTGCAAAGGAGGTGGCCTGTTTCCTCATGGCCCCAGTGCCCTTGGATGAAGGTCATCCTGTCCTGCCTGTGCTTTTCCATTACCCTTGGCCCCTGGGAGAGCAGAGTTTGCTGGCCAGGAGCAAGCAGGGACCGTGGTGGGTGCAGGACCTGCAGCCCCAAGAGAGCAGCATTTGGGTCAGGCAGGGGCTGTGCAGGGTCCCCTCTCCTTTAAATCCTCTTTCCTCCCGTGCCAGCGTCAACTACATGGATTAAAACACCAGGAAGAAACTCATTCCTCAAAATCATAGAGTTGTAGAATGGTTTGGGTTGGAAGGGATCAACAACTGTGCTGTGGCACCAATGGCATTCTGGCTTGTATCAAAAATAGTGTGACCAGCAGGAGTAGGGAGGTGATTGTGTCCCTGTACTCAGCACTGGTGAGGCCACACCTGGAGTATTGTGTCCAGTTTTGGGCACCTCAATCCAAGAGAGATCTGGAGGTGCTGGAGCGAGTGCAGAGGAGGGCAACGAAGCTGGTGAGGGGGCTGGAAAACAAATCGTATGAGGAGCGGCTGAAGGAGCTGGGACTGTTTAGTGTGAGGAAGAGGAGGCTGAGGGGAGACCTCATCACTCTCTACAACTTCGTGAAAGGACACTGTAGAGAGGTTGGTGCTGGTCTCTTCTCACAGGTAATTAGTGACAGAACGAGAGGGAACGGCTTCAAGCTCCAACAGGGGAGGGTTAGATTGAACATTAGGAAAGAATTTTTCACCCAAAGAGTGGTCGGGCATTGGAACAGGCTGCCCAGGGAGGGGGTGGAGTCCCCATCCCTGGCTGTGTTTAAGGGCCGTTTAGATGCAGTGCTGAGGGACATGGTGTAGGGGAGGACTTTGTAGAGTAGGGGAGATGGTTGGACTCGATGATCCCAAGGGTCTCTTCCAACCTAGACAATTCTATGATTCTATGATTTGGGGCGCTGGGGAGAAGCTGTGGATGTTCCTAACTCTTATTTTTTCCCCTTTTGGCTTCCAGAGTCACACCTTCATCAAACGCTCGGAAGTGGAGGAGGTGGATTTCGCTGGCTGGCTGTGCAAAACCCTGCGCCTCAACCAGCCCAGCACGCCCACCCGCGCTGCCATGTGAGGGCTGAGCCCCCCCAACCCCCTCC